GGGACCATGACCCGAGCCGAAGGCAGACGCTTAACGACTGAGCCACCCAGGCGCCCCTTAACTATTTTCTTTTTTAAAAGATTTCATTTGGGGTGCCTGGGAGGCTCAGTCGGTTAAGTGTCTGCCTTTGGCTCAGGTCGTGATTTCAGGGTCCTGGGATCAAGCCCTGTATCTGGCTCCCTACCTGCAGGGAGCCTGCTTCTCCCTCTTCCCGTTTGTGCTTGCTCTGTCAAATAAATAAAATCTTAAAAATATTTGCATTTATTTGAGTGAGCGAGAGTGTACAAGTGGGGCGGGGGGAAGGAAGAGCAGAGGGAGAAGCAGACTACCCACTGAGCAGGGAGCCCAATGACACGGGGTTCGATCCCAGCACCCTGGGATCATGACCTGAGCCGAAGGTAGACACCCAACCAACTGAGCCACCCAGGTGCCCCTAAAATGAGGTATTTCCTATTAGCTTGGTATAAATCTAGTTTGTATGTCTTTAATAAGTTATATATTTTTAAGGCGTATAACATGGTAAATTTTGTTGTGTACTTTACAATTTAAAAAGTTGAAAAAAAATGATTGAAATGTGAACATATATTGGCTCTGACATTACTAGAAATGTAGTAATAAGAGTCAAAATTGGCTTACTCATGTAGAATATTTTCTAATCGTATACTTGGACTATATGTGAGTCACTGTAGATAGACTAGATGGCGTGAAATTAAGCCATTACATAGAAATGTGGAAACAGCTATGTTATTTCCCATCTCAAGATAGATCAGACACTTCTGTCTCCTCGTAGCAATCTCCACCACAGAGAATTCTGGAGGTGGGCTGCAAGGGAAGAGCTGCTGCCCTGATTTCCAGGCTAGCACTTCGAGGCTATTCTAGAATTTATAAAGTCACAACGTATTTCCGGGGATGCACAAAGCTGTCACTTCATCCACAAATATACATGTTACTGGTGTGAGTCTCCTCATCAGATCATTACATTTGGGGAGACAAAGGGGTAGAAGCACTGCTGCCCCCAAGTGCCGGGGGTAGGACTGTGAGATACAGGAAGCCCAGTTAAATCTGATTTGCAGATAAGCACTGAATAGTTTTTTTAGTGTAAGTATGCCCCCAGTGTATCTAGAATCCAGATGTAAGTCCTGCACATCTGTCTGCGTGTGTGTGTAAACGTGTATCTGGGTGATATGTGGGGGGTGCTCACAAGCATCTTCAGACCAAGACAGCCTGAAAGCCCCCTGGGGACAGTTTCTTCCCAGTCCACCAGGGGTTCTCAGCCACTCTCTGGGGCCAAGGAGGCACTGCCTCCTAACCACAGCTGGACCCTGGGATTGGAGCAGAGCTCAGGTATACCAGTTTCTCCCATTTGTTATGTTGTTGTGTGAAGGTCCCCACACAGAAGCGACCAGCTCAACAGTGCACCCACTATTGGCTTTTTTTCTCCCCTCCTTTCCCGCTCCCTCACACCTGGCTTCCTGGAGCCATCTCCCTAAGTAACCTTCTGCTCTCAAGCCCTTGTTGCAGGCTGTCCTAGGGGAAACCCAAACTGTCAACAGTCGGTACTGGAAGTGGCCCTAGAAACAGCCCTCAGGATGGGATTCCGGAACAGGTCACTCGCTGGTCAGATGGTTAGTAAGAGGAGCCTGGTAATGAGCGTGGTAGTCACGACTCCCTGCATGCTCTACCTGGCCATTACGAAGATTTCTACCAGGCACGGCAGGATACGAGGTTCTGGTAGAAGGGGAAGCGTGAGTTTCTGAAACAGTCCTAGAACTTGAAACCTTGTTGGGACAGTGGCAATTACAAGGACTGCAGGTTCTCTCTCAAGCTTTGAAGAAAGAAAATTATAGGCTTAGTTCAGCCAACTATCATTTCAGGGCATGTTGTGAAAGCCAAAGTCGCCCACAGGAAGGATTAAAGAGATCCCCATCTTCTGCAGCAAGAGCAGACTGGCCTGAAAACCAGCACAGGGTTGATGGTGAGGGGGGCAGAACTGCAGAGACAGCTAAATGCAAAGCCTTGCCAAGTCATTTATGCCAAAATTCTGGGTCCTGATTGGGATCCTGATGCATTGGAAATCTGGGGAGGCGTGCTCGAGCACCTCAAGCCCCAAATTCTCCAGAACCCTCTGGTCTAACAAACCCATCTCCCTCCCCCCTTGCTGTAGGAGAGTAAACTCTTCTTGCTTGGAGACCACGCAAAGATCTCACCTGACTACAGTCAGGGAACAGACAGGATGGACTTAAAGGAATCATGCTGGATATTACTGAGTTGTGGAGTTTAGAAGGAAGTTTCAGAGTCAGATTTTCAGACTGTGGCAGAGACAGGATACACACAACCAGAATGCACACGAGCTGACAAATGTTCTCCATGATGAAATAAATGTGTTCAGTATGCAGAAAAAAAAAAAAAAAAGGCACAACACAGACCAAGATGCAGCTCTCCATACACTCTACCCCGATTTCCCAATATGCACCTTCACGAGTACGAAAAGTCCTAATTACCCCAAATCCAAATTTCCCCAAAACTAAAACCGGCAGGAGTAGTTTCCTCTCTTGGAAGTGTTCAGTAACCAACATACCATTTAACAGTCCTGAGGCACCATTACAAGATGTTTAAGTTTATTCCGAATCAGATTAAATTGTGTTCAATGTGGCTCAATCCTTTACAAATCTTATACTTCTCGAATATATGTTAAAACAGTTAAACAGTTTCAGTGTTCCTTCCTTAATTACACTGGATATACTCAGTTTAACTATACAAAAGGCAGTGCCGGCCTGGCTTGGGGCCCAAGGCGAGGTGAGGGGACCGCGCCCCAGAGGGCTGTCCGGCGAGGAGTGCTCCGCCACCCTCCAGCCCCTCCGTGCCACCGTACCGCCACTGAGCACCCACTCTCCAGGCACCCCTTGATGTGTGAGTGAAACAAAATCTACGACTAGAGCTTATATCGCAATTACTGGGCTTCTCCCCAGCATCCACGGGCTAAACTTTAATAAAAACAAAACCCACCCAGAGAGCATTACTTGACGGTTAAAGCACTTCTCCCTCTCCAGGGTGGACTCTCTGATGTTTAGAAAGATTTGACTTACTACAGAAGGTTTTTCCACAGTGATTACACCAGTAGGGCTTCTCCCCGGTATGGATTCTATGGTGTTTATTAAAATTTGAGCTGTGGTTGAAGGCTTTCCCACACTCCTTACATTTATATGGCTTCTCTCCAGTGTGGAGCCTCTGGTGAGAACTAAGACCTGCGTGCTGACTAAAGCTCTTCCCACACTCGTTACACTGGTAAGGTTTCTCCCCAGTGTGTATCCGATAGTGTCGGATGAGGCTGCCTTTACCACTGAAAGCTTTTCCACAATCTTTACACTGATACGGCGCCTCTTCGGTGTGCATTCGCTGATGTTTAAGGAGGTCTGAGCTCTGACCAAAGGCTTTCCCACACTTACAGTCATAGGGCCGGTCCACCAAGTGTGTTCTGTAATGAAGGGTGAGGTTTGAACTGTGGCTGAAAGCTTTCCCACATTTGGTGCACACATACGGTTTCTCCCCAGTGTGTGTTCGCCGGTGTTTGGTGAGGTTTGAGCTATTACTAAAGGCTTTTCCACACTCGGCACATATGTACCGCCTCTCTCCTGGGGCAGGTTTAGCGGGAATCAATTCTCTGCCTTTCTTGGAACCTTTGTCTAGGAGAGGAGTTTTCGTTCCTCTTTCCTTTTCAAGGTTTACCCACTGCCTTTCTAACCTGGCTTCACATTTACTGGCAATAATCATGGGAATAACATCCCTTTTGAGTTCTTGAGATTCTTCAGAACCTTTCTGCTTGTCTGTTGATTCCTCATTCTGGGTGTCCAAGTTACAATCTGAAACAAGAAGTAGAATAAGAACAGGTCAGTTGTTTTGTGTTCTGAGAAGAAACTGTTGAAGGAGAAATAGAAAGCTCAGCTGACGTGCATGGTGACCAAGTATCGCTTGGTGAGAGATCACAACATGACAGTGACACAAATAAGTCACCACCAGATCTAGTTTACAGCACGAGGCTGTCACACCAGCCCCAGCAGCAGCTAGAATGATGTGACGAGGGCATAGCTTTCTCTGCCATGAGAAGCACTTCACATAAAGAGGGCATGGAAGCAAAACCAAGCCTACTGGGACAGAAACATAGGAGCTGGGGGATGCTCAGGCAGAAAGAAACAAGTAAGAAATATTACCGAACAAAGTTGATTAAGGACAATAAAAAGGGTAATTAATTAAGGGAGAGGAGGCTAGCAGCAAACTCATGAAATCCACATTCTCACAGAAGTGGAATATAAAAGCAACAAAAGACATGGAACACTACGTCAAAAACTAATGATGTAATGTATGGTGATCAACATAACATAATATAATTAAAAAAAACAACAACAAATCAAACCAAAACACAATAAAAAAAAAAGGCAACAAAAGAGGACATTCGGTCCACGTATGACCAGGCTAGTCCCAGCTCATTATTAGTTTAAATCAAAGTGCCCACCTCCCAGGAGGGTTTGATTCCCAGCACGTACACTACACTGGCTGTCTCACCATCTTTTAGTTCTAAAGTTAATACTGCTAAACCAGACTGAAGCCATCTATCTTTTTTAGAGCACTGCACTAGGCAGCCACACTTACAAGTCCATCTAACCCGTCCACATACACGGAAAAGGGGAGTAAGAGAAATCCACACTGAACCAGGGGCTCCCTGACACCTGTCGGCCCCCGAGGAGTACAGAAGCCTCTGTCAATGAGGTACCTTCCTCTCAGCCCCTTCCCTGGTCCCTGGCGCCCTCTCTCCACTCGACCATCTCTTTCCTCCGGCCGCCAGCAGCAACCGTCCAGCTGTGTGCACGCTCACCCCCCCCCCCCGCCTGCCGGGACCACAGCCGCGGCAGATAAAAGTCCCCTTCAAGGGGGCGCCTGGGTGGCTCAGTTGGTTGAGCGACTGCCTTCGGCTCAGGTCATGATCCTGGAGTCCCGGGATCGAGTCCCGCATCGGGCTCCCTGCTCGGCGGGGAGTCTGCTTCTCCCTCTGACCCTCTTCCCTCTCGTGCTCTCTGTCTCTCATTCTCTCTCTCTCTCTCAAATAAATAAATAAAATATTTAAAAAAAAAAAAAAGTCCCCTTCACTCTCGGTGATGAGCAATCACTTGGCTACATATACAGACTTTCCTTCAAGTTACCGTGTACTCTGTGTGGGAAATAAGTAACTCAATAAATAAGTGAAACATTTTAAATAACCTTATGAGGCAGAAGCTGAAAAGATTTTACCTGGGACCATTTCTGCATAATCCAATGCTGATTTTAACAGGTTCTTCGCTCAGTCATTAACAAATGAACAAGCCGCATCTCTCCCTGGTTCCTTCAACCTGTCATACCTCTGTGAACAGTCCCTTTTTCAAATTTACTTCGACCAACACTTTTAAGAGTGTGTCACGTTCCCCCGCAACCCCATGCTAGGGCTCTAGCTGAGATGCACTTGGGAGGAAAGGCACTCAGGTACTCATCCTGCCCAGGCAGCCAGACCAGGCAAGTCAGTCTAGGGGGACTGCCTCACAACCAGTAATGAGAATTATTCTGTTTCTTCCACCACAAAGGCTTGGGGCACCAAGCACGCCACATGACAGACAGTCCCTACCTTGACTCTTTCTCAGCTCTGGAGTGAAATCCTGCTCTTCCCCAGTCTCCTGGATGTATAAGGGCTCCCAACCTTCGCATCTGTGACTGGTCTCCACAGACTGGGGCTGCGTGTTGCTTGGAAACTTTGCTGTTCCTGAAGAGGACCTCTTCTCCCAAACCTGTTGCTGTTCATTTGGAGGAGGTGAGACCTAGAGACAACCACGAATGGCGGGGTTTGTGCACAGCTCACCTCAGAACTACAGGTGACCCCTGAACACGGGTCTGAACTATGCAGGTCCACTTATACACATATATATATTTTTTGATACATACAGTACAGTAAATGTATTTTCTCTTCCTTATGGTTTTCTTAATGTTTTCCTTTCTGTAGCTTACTTTATTATAAGAACATGGTATATAACACACATAACATACAAAGTAAGTGTTGACTATTTATGTTATTGGTAAAGCTTCCGGTCAACATTAGGCTATTTACTTAGAAGTTAAGCTTTGGGGAATCAAAAGTTATATTGGGATTTTCAAATGCACGTGGGCTGAAGGGAGGGGGGTGACAACCCTAAACCCTGGGTTGTTCAGACTTTTCAACTGCAGAATGAAAGCAAGCCTCAGGAGGGCTAAAGTACAACCGCTAGGAAAAAGAAAAGAAACACATCCATCTCATTCAATTCCCACGGCTAAAGATCAATACTGGACAGAAGAAGAACAGGAGGAAACAGGATCTAAGTCAGCCCCTCCCATTGGACGGATAAACCCAGTCCTGCCCAGAGTGCTCTATTCCCAGCCTCACAGCATGTAAGGTCTCCCCAGACTACCTGCTGTCCTGGCTCGTCCAGTTCCTGCTCCAGGTCTTCTAGGAGAGTGACGGCCTCTTCGGCGCTCTCCGGGCAGTGCTCCTGCACCCAGGCCTGGAGCTCCTGGGGCAGGATGGTCAGGAACTGCTCCAGCACCAGCAGCTCCAGGATCTGCTCCTTGGTGTGGATCTCCGGCCTCAGCCACTCGCAGCAGAGCACCCGGAGCTGGCTCAGGGCCTCCCGGGGGCCAGGCGTGTCATGGTAGCCAAACTGCCGGAAGCGCTGGCGGAACACCTCCAGGCTAGGAAGGCTCTGCCCTTCCTCTTCATCCTCATCTTTAACCACCACAGGCCCCCTTTCCCGTGGAGGCCTCGGGCCCCGAACTGCAGCCATGCCCAAAACCTTGGTCATCACAGATTCCAGAAACAGCCTCACTAGAGATGGGACTCTGTGGAGCAGGAAATATCGGTTCCTTTGGGTTTCTGGTTCTTTAGGGCTATGCGTTAAACCTGAGAAAATATGGTTACCATAAATTACAAAAAGAAAAAAAGGATGCTTTTTAGGTCTTGACAGCCATACCTTTAGCACAAGAAATTGTGGAAATTACAGCCACCATAAAACTATCATACAAATTATTACTGTTCAAAATCATTCGGGAGTCAGTTCAGGATACCCTAATCTTACTTTGTCTCCACTAAAAAAAGGGCACAATGGCATACTTTTAAAATTAAATTTAAATTAACTTTGCTCCAAAAACTGTTTCAGAATCTTACAACTCTGAGATTTTAACAGGGTACCTATCTACAGGCCAAATGCAGCCTTCCAAATCTAAGACTTTGAGCTTCAATATTAAAAATTTGCTAGCCAAGGATGCATGACTGGCTCAGTTAGTAGAGCACGCGACTCTTGATCTCAGGGTCGAGTTCAAACCCCGCATCAAACCCCCTACACGTCACTAAATAAATAAGTAAGTAAATAAATAAATAAATAAATTGCTAGTCAAACGATGGGGCTAGTCAGCATAACCAGGAATCATGTTAGAAGGTTGGAATTAAGAGTATTTTAAAATAATTGAGTATAATTAATGATGTAATTTAAAAAATCTGTTTTTCAAAGATCCCATTTATTTATTTGAGAGACTGTGAGCATGTGGGGGGTTGGGGGGAGACATGCAGACTCTGCACTGAGCTCAGAGCCCCACGCAGGCCGATCCCATGACCCTGAGATCAAACACTGAGCCAAAACCAAGAGTCGGGACGCTTAACTGACGGAGCCAGCCAGGTGCCCCAATGATGTAATTGAGCTTCACTTGATCCACTTTTAAGTAGGGCATATGCAAGTTTTTAAAAGTCCTTTACCTTTAGGTTTCACAGAAAGACCAGTGGAATGACAGAAATTAAACTAATAGTAACCTATATTCTTTTTTTTTTT